ACATCTGCAATTCCTGCACGGTAAGCTGGTGGTTATCAGGCTGCAAGCTATCACTGGGTGGCCTGCAGACTTCAGAGGAAGAGTAATATTTGCATAGACTTACTGTGCAGATTTCAAATTTTGCAATCTAAAATTTTGCTCTCATATTCAAGGCTTCGTATTCTGATTTTTCTTTTCAGAAAAAGCTGGACACTCAGCCTAAAAATCAATCAAATCCTCTTTTCGAGACTTGTTGTTCGAGCAAAGCCTATTCTGTCCCCTCACACCTCGTGAAAAAATTTGATGCCTTCTTGAACTGCCATCTTTCTTGCAATATGAAATGGGAGAAAGCATTTCATTTTTACAAAATGTCCTCAGCTGTAATTCACGATTTCTGCCACAAGATGGTGTAAAGAAATTGCTGCGCTCATGTCTGGAGCGAGCGCGGGAGAAGGAGGGTCGGATGCAGAAGGCGACGGGGCCCCACGGGCCCCAGTGCTGCATGTTGGGAGCGTTGTTGGGGTTTGCTCCCGGCTTTGCCAGCTCGCCGGGTGAGGTGGGCTAGATTGCATCAGCTCTCTTTGCCTCTCTCTGCTGCAGATTGCTTCAATGATTACCTGCTTGACAGCAGCAGATCAGGTGTGACCGCTTGCCAATGACTTTGGTGTGGCCCTAACGCTCCCCTGCGAGTATAGCACAGTATGTGTCACAGGAGCATTCAGTCTGTGGCACTGTCACGTGTGAGGCTTGGCTGACCTCCCAAAAGCGGTTTGAATTAGTGCATACATTTTTAAAAGTTCCCTTGCTTGTAAATGATTTCAAATTGAGTTTTGCATGTGGTAAAGGAGGTTTTCCTCATCGCCGGAGCCAGTTCTCTGATAAAGAATGCAAACCACAAGAGCAAGCACCGCTTGAAAGGGTCTGTGCTCGAGCAAACTGCTACGTAGCAAGTTCTTAAATTCAACAGCAGGCCTTAGGCGATTGAGAAAAGCAAGCAATGCATGTTAGCAATAATACATTCGTTAGATTGAAAAGCGCTGCAAGGCGCCGCTTGGGCACGGGGGTCACGTTGCTGGCAGCGTGTGTGTGCGTGGGGCAGAGCAGCGCTGGGGTCCGGGCTGGGGTCTGCGGCTGGGCCGGGGGCTGCGTGGCGCGGCGCGAGACGAGGGAGG